GGGGTTACAAAGGAGAGATTAGACCAAGGATAAGAGGGCGGGGGGAGCGGTAGGTAAAATGAAGAGTTTGAACTCTGCAAATGTGAACCAGGTGAGGGGTAAACGAGAAGTGAGGGGCTAGCAAGGAAGAGATCAGGGCTGGGTCACAAGGAGAGGGGTTCGTGGAGTGCACTGCCACGATGCCAAAAGGGAATTGAGATCTGTCCAAATCAGATAAGGAAGGGGTTGGCGCCTTGAGAGGCTGAGGGGGAACCATCGAGGTGGCGAAGTGCAGAGGTAAGAAGGTCAGGGAAGAGGAGGGTGCAGAAGACGAAGGAATAGACGGGGGTAGTAGAGCCAGCGGGTTCAAGGGGGAGGCTGTGGGGGAACTACCGAGGTGGCAAAGTGCAGAGGTAAGAATGTCAGGGAAGAGGAGGGTGCAGAAGACGAAGGAACAGACGGGGGTAGTAGAGCCAGAGGGTTCAAGGGGTAAAAGGAGAACAAAAAGGGTTTGGATCCAAGGGGATGGGCTCCTGGCTAGGATTCTCAACAAGGGAGAGGGTTGTAGGGTGGGAGGGAGTTCTGTAGAGAGGTAGAGGAGGGTGCCAAAGGGAGAGGGAGGAGAGGCAGGAGAGGGTGGGTCAACTGAAGAGTCTCTAGGGGTGGAGTGGGAAAGAGAGGGTGGTGGGGTTAGAAGAGAGGGGGCCAAATGAGGCGTCTGAAGCGGCTTTCAAGTGATCATGGTCTCGAGACTTGAGATGAGGCCAGGTGTCGCCAAAGGGGTTGAGGGTGGAGGGCAGTGTCTCTTCGGTTGACGACCAGGAAGGGATGGTGGTAGGAGGAATCAACGGATGAGAAGACAGGGGCGGCGAAGGGTTGGGTGAGGTCGACGTGTGGGATGAAGAGGGCGGGGAGAGGTTAGGTGAGCGCGACAGGTGAGATGATGAGGGCGGCGCATGGTGAAAGGTGTCAGCCGGGCAAGGCAAGAGGCTGGAGGAAGTGGGGGCAATGTAAACAAGTGTCGAGCGAGCAAGAGGGGTGCTTGGAATCTGAGCCAAACAAGATAAGTCCTCAGATGAGAGGGACCAGCTGCCCGAGAGAGTAATAGACGACGGGTCGGGCCCAATCAAGTAGCTTGACGAATGAAGCATCGGAGAAGGTTCGCGGCCTACTCACTTCTTTGCTGGGGCGGTGAGTTAGGTCTGGAAGTGGCGGGAGAGGACCGGTAGAAATGCCGCCATCAGGGTACGGGCTTGGCAGGGAGGGTACACCTACAGACTGCAGGGCTGGCTAGATGACATAGAACATCTTACTAGGCCGACGTGTTTGACTGCCACGTGGTCTCCAAAGGCCTGGAGCCGTTGTGAAGTTGTCGGCGGTGCCTCTTGGGGTGGTGACGTTTCCTCGAAACAGTGATTCAGGATGGGGAGGAGGAGCCCTTGGGCGGGGGAGGGTCTGTTGGGTTGAAGAAGTTGGCAGAGGGTGGAGAGGCCACCGACCACGAGAGTGAGATCGGGAAGAAAAGGTCATCAACTTCTAACCAGATGCAAGGTGGGATGAAGGTAGTGTCTAGGACCTCCAAGAGAAGACGAATGGAACCGAAAGGAAGCACTTTGATGGATTTCCAGGGGATTGAGATCAGATCAGCACAAGCTTCTACCACTCTTTTGAACGTGGATGGAGACCACGCATGTAGGGGAATGTGGCCCGTCGTGAGCTAAACTCTCTGCTTTTAGTAAGACCCTTCTTTTGCGGACCATGCTTGAAGTTTGAAGGTGGCCTCTTTGAAAATAGATGAGGGGGGTTCTTGTAGGACATAGAGAGCGTGTTCGTGTGAGGGGAAGGAAAAGAGGATGTCGTTACTAGAGAGGCGGCGGCAAGTAAGGTTTGGCTCCACCCAGAGCCGTTTAGCCCATCTTTCAATTCCCCTGACATCGTCTCGTATAGGTTGGAAACTTCCCAATAGGGAAGCAAGAAGTTTGGAATTGAGCGGAGCAAACTCCTCTGTAGGGGTGGAGACGATGAAGGGGCGAAACAGGGAAAAAGCGCATGGGGGAAGGACACCCACCTGAGGAGGGAGGTGAGGCATTGGGAACAGGGGGTGCCTTAGCTGAGGTGACCACCTGTGAGAAAAAGGCCTGCAGAGCCGGATTAGCCCTCAGGACAGATGGCTTGGGTCCCCGAGCAGGAAGAGGGTGGGGGGGGGGAGGGGGAGGGGGAGGCAGATGTTGAGAACGCGAGGATTTAGTTTTGGGATAAAGATCGCAGATTGTGTTCCAGCTAAGAGGAGGAGGCAGACGACGACGCCTACTCCTCTTCATCTTCTCCTTGAATTTTTTACTAGAAGTGCTTATATAAAAATGAATTTTGTTTTAGAGAATTTTCACTTGAGAAATTATAAATCAGTGAAATGCTTTGTTTCAAATAATTAGATATTTTATTATCTTTTCCTTCAAATGATGATAATTAATAAATTTTACCTTATGTATGTATATAAATATATATTTTTAAACAAATATTAGGAAATGCTATAAATGTAAATTGACTAAATTAGATATCATTTTTTATTTTATTATGTAATGGTTTGATGGGGCTGCAGTCCCATCAAAACATGTAAACTCTCACCTCATAATTCATCAAAAATTGCAATTCAAGCATTGGAAAGTGTATATTGCAACAAATTAGGACTTCAAATTCTAAAAACATTGTGTACATATCAAATTCTTAAAAAAGTGTATATTGCAACAATTCATCTAGACTGTCCATTTTGCCCTAAAAATAAGTGTTTACAGATCTGCTAGATCTATAGCATTTTTTGTGTTTCAAATTTTATTGTTGGTGTCGGAAATTGATTTTAGCGCATCATGGAGATTTTTGATGACGGAAGTGCTTTCCGGATGAGGATTCGAGGTGCAGCTTTATTTTGTTTTCATAAAGCCTAGGCCTTATAGAAACTTCGTCCATTATTTTTATTAGATACTCAATGACTCAATTGTCTTTTTCTTTAAAGATGTTGGTCATTTTGTAAAAAATCGGAAGTAATTATTGTTGCTTGTACCACGTCATGTGGCAATAAATGCTATACTCTTTTGGTTGTTTAAATTTATATAGCATGCTCATATGGGAGCATACTAATACTATTATTTCTGTCACAATTGATAATTATTTTTTAGATTTAATATTTAGATATTTATTTTTAATCACAAATGAATACTTCTAGTTTTGTTTTTTTTTGAAAATTATATATCTATTTTTCAATCGAAATAGAATATACCCGAGGGAACACAAATAATTTTATGTGAATTTACTATGTAATTGATACAATGTTTTACCATATACATCATCCCAACTATATACATAATAAATAATAATGTTTATACGAACCAACCTCCTAAGATAAACACTTTTTCCCAAACCTGCTCGTAGTTTATAATAGAAGATATCGCATTTGGCCAACTACATACACGATCTTGATTGGGATCCTGGTATTTGGGATTCCCTAATTCACAACAAGTGAGGGGTCCCCCGAGAACCCTACAGAACCAAGTGAAGTTTTGGGTAACCATGCAGAAGAGAGTCAAGAAGCTGTTACTTTTTGTATACTGAAACATCTTAAAACTTTGAGAAGGTTGTGGATGTGCTGCTGGTGCACTTTTGCTCTCAGCGTAAGCCAAAAGAGAGGAGCTCTCCCTCTCAAAATGATCTATGCACACATACTAGAATTTATGTGTTAGTCATCTTTTGTTTTTACTACATTTAAGTATCACATTTTGTTGTGTATGTATGTCAGTCATCACCACACAATAATGTCAATCCAATTTGTGTGATTTAATGAGGACCTTGGTTTTTTATTGCTCTCCATACCGATTGGAAATCTCTTTTTGTGCGAGAGAGTGAATGACAAGGTTTCCTTGTGTGCAGAGGATGAAAGAAAAGTTCGACTTCTGTGGACTTCCTAAATTATTTATCTTCATAAAAGCTATGATTGTGATCATTTCATTTTTGTTTATTTTATTACAATTTTTATTGATTTAAAAAATAATGATGATTATACTTTGTCGATTCGAAAAATAATTTATTGTACATAATAGAGTCCAAGTAAATAAGATTTTCTTGCATACAGAGGAATAAGATAAATTGTTCTTTTTGGGTTTGTTAAGTTTTATTTTTAAGTAAAAAAGTAAAGAAAATGACACCTTTTCAATTTTTCTCACATGGTAAGATATCGGTGTTTGAACGTAAGATATTTTTACTTTCGAACACCGACATCTTACTATGTGAGATATTTGTATATTCAAACATTCTTATTGAGGCCTTGTGAGATAGTAGTATTTTTTAATATCTCTATTTTACATGATAATTAGGGTATGTTTGGTGACCCCTGAATATCTGGATATCGAAATATATTTGAGATTCAATTTTTTTATATATCAACATGCTAAAAAATGGTCTTGATAGCGCCAATCCACGGCACAAGTTTTGGATAAGACTTTTATATCAATGTCCTCAAAAAAACAAGTTGGACCTGAATTTAGGCAATATGGAGCAATGCTAAGTTTTCTCCGTCTCGCAATCTTGGAGGATTTGGTTTAGAGAGAGAGAGAGATGACTAGCAGGAGGAAGAAATGAAACCACTTTTAGAGAGAGAGAGATGAGTGGCAGGTGGAGAGGGAAGAAATGAAACCACTTCCAAAAGAGTAAAAAGTCAAGGATTCGATTAATCTGTTAAAGAGCTATGTGATCCACTGTTTTCATCCTATTCGACTTTAGTCATCTCTACTTTCCTTGGAACGATTCTCCTCCTTTTCCCACCCCAAAACCTCACAAAAACCCTCACAAGCTATTAGTTTTTCCCTAAATCGTCATTAACGAGGGATAGGCTACCTATTCTAGGGTAACTGAACTGATTGCTGGAGAATCACCAGTTCCTATTAGAGATTAGGCCACCTAGAGTCGGGGCATTTTAATACAAAGGAAGGTGATACTTCCCTGATTTTCCCGTTCTGTTCTCGGATTTTCAGGAGCTCTGGATCAAAGAATGGGTAGCCTAAAAAAATCCCAGGCTAATGATGATGACAGAGTAGTAATAACCAAGTCCCCTCACCCCAAGCCCTCCTCCACTAAGTACTAAACCTGGTGCTTATGCTGCTCTTGCCTCCATGAATTATGCAGGTTAGTTCTCTCTCTTTCTCTTTGTGTGTGTGTGTGTGTGTGGCCCAACTTTTTAGTTTTATGCTCATGTGAAGTGTGATGGTGCCTCTGCAACGTCTTTGTATCATTTGGTCTCTAAGCGATTTTTTATTTGTATGCTGATCTGTGATGTTTTGTGTTGGTTTTACAATTTGGATTGCTTCCTTTTGTGGGGTTGATAGGGACTGAATAGGGGTATGCTTGTGGGTTATGCATACTTGGAATGGTAAGTCAATTTATTTGTTTATTTTGTCAGTAGTCTTTGCTGAAGCTGGTTATTGTTTTCACTTGAATTTCTTAACTGGTTTTTGTTTCAATTTTTCTATCTATGGATGTAGATGTATATCCTGTGTCTGGTTTGAACCTTGGACTCATCCCTCAGTGTGCAATATAATAGTCTTCACTTCACACATCTCAATCTCTAGGGGGTTTGGTCTCTTGGCTTTGTGGCTGTGGAGTAACAGCTCAAAATATGTGTTCATAGGTTCAAGTGCTATATGGTACCCTATGTGCACTAGGCAGGAAATAATGAACAAATGATGCCCAGGAGAAAGAGTCATGCTTTAAAGTTAATGTTTGATGAGTCCCAGTTTTACTGTGGGTCTATTTGACCTTTTCCATGACATCTATTTCTATTTTTTCGTTCTTTTAAAACTATTTTGGTCTATGCATTTCTTTTATTGATGATTTTGGGGGCTTAAGGCTGTACAAAATTGAGTACTATCTATGTTGTTCATCCTCATGATTTTTTGGCCATTAGCGTAAGATGCTGAGTGAACCATGCTTCTATATTTACAGATTTTTGGGTCAATTTTTGGATAATTGATGACTAAGATGACATGATCACCTCGTGAGCGATAAAAATGCTTCTCAAACCATATCAGATTCTGGCTATTCAAATAGAAGGAAACATTTTCATGTACAGGCCTGAGCACTGCAAATGGCAATTCGTCATTGATTCCCCTCTAGTTTTCCCTACATTATCTGGGGATCTTGAAGTTCAAAGCCAGATCCTTTGAAAAGGCTGAAAATGATTGCAGAGAGGAAATTAAAGAATATGTAGGGATTCTTGAAATTGTAAGAGGCAATGATTTTAATAAATGTAAAGCAAAAAACATGTGGTGATGGTTCATCTTTGACTAAACTCTTCCTTGTAATTACATTTCTTTGGTGCTACTTTGTAACTTAGGGTATTTCGCACACGTAAATTACCAACTAAAAAATGTGGATTGAAATAAGCTTGTTCGTAATGGTATTGTTTTGCATTTACTTGCTAGATTAATCTTTTGCACGCATCAGGAAGAAACGTTTTTGACGTAGTTGAAATTATTAATGAAATGAGAATTTAAACTTGGTAATTGTGAAAATCAAAGGTGTCGAACGTCTCATCTCCTTGGGCTCCAATGAAATCTGTGATCTATTCTCCACATTTGCTCATTTTATTGAATGCATATAGGTGTACAAAAATTGTGTTTGCTATTGAAAGCCTATGAGTTCTCTTTAACGTTGATTATCGCAAATGTTTAGTGTGTTTTCTATTGAAAGCCTATGAGTTCTCTCTCTCTAATCTTAAATAATGCAAGTGTTTCAAATTTATAAACATTTTTAAATGCAAGTAGATGGTCAAGTGGGAGCTTTAAAACCGGATTGGTTTTTTGGCAACATGAAGAGGGATAGGCATAGCCGGTCGCAATAAAGTGACCAACAAGAAAGAAATAATGCAAAGAAGAACAATAAGATCAATGTGGAAGACAATCGATTCTATTTCACTATCAATGGAGATAACAGAATATGAAAAAAGACTCTTTCCTAATGAGAATTAGAGAAACTCTTTCTATCAAGCTGTTTATCTTTCAATTATTGCTACACTGTCCATGTCCAAGGTATCTCTCTTTACACAACCTATTGATGAGGAAACTCAATAAGATAATCACCTGCCTTATTTGTTTATAACAAGGATAAACACAATCTATCATAATCTTATTTTTGATAAGTTAAATATGATACAATAATTGTTCCTTAAATGTTACGATTCCCATGCCCACAAAAATAGGATAGCACTTTTTTGAATTTAAGATTCACCCAGTAGAAAATTAGGAAACTTAAACTTATCCACCTCAAAAATAACAGAACATAGTGATACTAACTCCATATTCAAGACATCCTCACAAGTCTCCATCTTGGCTTGAATTCTAAAAGAAATTTTTTGTCAACCATCTTCTCCACATGTACTCCCACAAGCGCTCACCTTCCCAACACCTTGATCAAGTCCAAATACAATTTGAACTTCTGTAATAGAATGGGTCTTGTCAGTGTCGATTAATGTTATTAACAGTGTCAATATTCAACAATAAGATATCATTGCCATGACATCATCAATATGCTTTATATCGCATGATATACTTGTTTTTTCTTCAAATGTTTATGCTTGACTGTTACAATAAACAATTCTCTTTTTATTGCAAAGCCAAATCACTTACAAGCCCTGTAGAGTATTGACCTCTAACTGGTCGGAGTTCCAGCAAGTGTAAACATATAATCTGTATGGATATTCTACAGTCCAAATAAATTGCAAAATCAACATCAACACAACCAACAACCTTGTCACTAAACTTGCTGCGATTGTTGAACTCTTTACGCACATCTGTGTAACTCTTAGGTAACACAACATCTATTTCAACACTTGTGAATGCTCATTTCTTTGTTTGGTCACATACTAGCTAATAGCACTAACAACGTAAGAAATATCTAGATGAGTGCAAACCATTATGTAAGTGAAGCTTTCAACTACATTGATATTGGGAAGACGGGACATGTATTTCTTTTTAGCATCTGTATTATAAAAAATGTTACAAACGATATGAAATATGTAGCAACACTAGTATCTACGGGCTTTGAATTTTCTACTTTGAATACGGTGAGGACCTTCTTAATGTACCCCTGAGATAGGCCACAATTTTCCCAACTTTCCATCTCTACATATCTCCATAGGCAAAAAGTTATATGCTAAACCTAAATCTTTCTTCTCCAATTCTCTATCATGCTAAGATTCAATTTATTGATTTCTAAAGAAATCTCCACAACAATATCATTTATATAGAGCAATAAAAATGAGTCAGTCATTAGTAAATCTCTTAAATTAGACATAATTATCATAATTAGTTCTAAAATACTCGTGTTTGATCATGTACGTACCAAAGTATGTGTATCATTACCTAAGAGACTGTATTAGGCCATACAGTGACTTCGTCAGCTTACAGACATGACCTCTACGCCTTTAACTACAAACTCTTTTGGCTTACTCGTATAAATTTGTTTCTCTAACTCTCTATACAAAAGTGCAACCTTGACATCAAGATGCACCAATTCCAAATGATACAACCAGGGTTAGCAATACCTGAATGGATGCGTACTTCACAACTTGAGGGATCTTATTATAGTCAATACCTTCCCTTTAACAATCCATTTACATCTAATGACTCTCGTACCATTGGGCAACTTTATGAGATCCCATGTGCCATTCTTTTGAAGAGACTAATATATTATTACATTCATGACATCATTCCACCTACTATTGCGAAGATCATATATAACTTATTTAAAAATATATTGCCCTTTCCTTAAACAACTAATGCAAAGGCAAATAACCGCCCCCCCCCCCCTCAATGCTTTTTTTTATTTATGAAAATACCCCTCTAAATGCATGTTTCCTTTGGTTTTTTTTTTGTCCATTTCAAAGCTGGTCCGAAAACGTGTGCCTGATTGGCCTTAAGACAAAAAAAATGATACAGGAATACATATATGAGGAATGATCGTGTGTATTTTGAATACATGTTGGAGTGTATCTAAACTATAGATTGTAGATTCTGAAGAGCTACAAATCCGGGAGACTTCTGACTTGATGGCCCATGAAAGGATTCTTCCATTAAATTATCTTTGAGCAATTTCCCTTTCTTTTTATCTACCTTTTTTTTAGAAGTCCGTTGCTACCAAATTCTCATAACAATGGGCTTGTAGTTGGAATTTGGCATGACAGGATACGTAGAAGTACAAAAATGTTCGTTTTTTCAGATTTTCAGAAAAATGATCATCTTTGTTTTGATTGTTTTTAGGTTTTAGAGAGTAGAGTGAGTTGGGATCCCATGAATGCTTTCATCAGAGAGGAGAGGAATAAGAGGGTGGTGGGATTTGTAAGAGAAGATACACCATGATATTATCTCTTTCTCCATTGGGCATTGTTCGTTATATGAGCTCCTGTTTAGAGAGAGAAAAGTAAAGCAACGTCTCCACTGAGATGGGCACAATTCTCTCTCTAAATGTATTACCTCACTTTTTTTTTGGGGTAAGTGATTATCTCTTGCACTGATATAAAGTAACAAACAAGGTTTGTGACGGGATACCTTTGGAGAGAGAAAGAAGGGAGAGACAGAATGATCCAAGGAGAGTGATTAGGGGCCATAGAGAAAGAGAGTAGTGGGATCTTAGAGAGAGATTGGGGACTGATGGAGAGAAAGCAAAATCTGTTAGAAGAGAGATTGGGAGTTTGTAGGGTAAGATTTTATAAAAAGAAAGGGTAAAAGAAACTCTTTTCACCACAACACCATGTATTTAAACTAAACAAGATCATTCCCTTATGTATATTTAGAGAAGGTAATATTTATTTTAAAAATTATTTTTTTAATTGTGGATGGAAACCGTTTTGGGGTTAGTGACTTTGGAAATAGTGCATCTTGTAATGCTTTTTTGAATTGTAAATTTTTAAATTTTTATAGATATGCTCAACCTACGCTATTTTTGAAGCTTTAAATTTTATAATTAAAAATAAAAATATATTTTAAGGCTAACACAAAGATTTCTAGTATAGAAACCACAATTCTCGACACTATTTGAAGGTGCACTTTACTTTGATTGGTTAGAGCCACGGCTCTATTCAAACCCGTACCCATATTATAATATTTGTTCAAGAGAAATTATCCCTCCTAATGAAAACAAGCCAGCACAAGAATATCACACAAAAGAAAAGGAATCGGTGGATAAGTAATGTGCCTAAAGAAAATTATGATAATAGGGAAACAGAAAAGGGAAAAATCACTTGGTATCCAAGTTGCATAAATAAGTTCTATTGAAAAGTACAGCCACTCGCATGCAAAACACAAACAGAAAGAAATGAGGAAACATGTAGATGAGGAATGAATTGCAGGTTTCCAATCACACGCGACAATGTGGTAGTTTTCATGGAACTTCAAGGGAAAGAGGGCAATAAGCCTGCAACATAAATTTGATCACCGTAAATAACACCAAAAAAAACAAAAAACAAATTCAACATTAAATTTTCTCACTCCCCAATACCCAACAGTATAACACGGGTGACGATAATAGACGGTTCAATTGCCCAATCGCATACTGCCTAAAGCATCCTTCCAAATAATTCAAAAAGCTGAAGTATTATATACACGAATCAGAAATTAAAATCTTGAGCGCGATGCTTTTGCCCATGACGCTTAACTTCTCATAAAGGCATAGGGGCAGGTATAGGTCACCATGCAGCGAGGTATATATATCATAGTTTTGCATTTTCAAAAGTAAAGCAGCACTGAAAAATATAATATAACGGCAAACCTTGAGGGAAAAATATTAGAGTTTAATGATTCTTCTTTTAATTTCTAAACTCTGATTCTGAATTCTTATACACTAGTAAATTAGTTAACAAAACTGTATGAAATGGCCAGACATGATTAGAAACATTATTAAATGTGAGGATGAGGAAGGTCCAATGGATAAGCACAACACTTGCCCTACAAGAATCTGCTATCTCTGGAACTTGATAACCACTGTATGACGAGCATACTATACAAACCAAAGATGACCCAAGTGAGAAACTTCATATCTCTTTAGAGGCACACTGGAATAGTTTAAGGAACTTCCTGAATGAAAATCGAACCCAAAAAAGAAAGAAAACTAGAAATCACTTCACTGCCTCAAAGAGGGATTTTAACTGCTGCCAATCATCCTCTTCACAGATTTTAAGATTTGTTGATCTCTATTTCTTCTAGAGAAATGGTAATCTACAGTTCATTATGAAATCATACTGATTGCAAGTGGATCCTCTGTTTGATGATGTGACAATAACTTATGGCTCTTTGGATTTGATCCTAATGGCAGGACCAAATGCCATAACCCATCATCCATACCTTTAAAAAAGAAACTAAAATCAACAGGTCTCTTCTGACTCAAGAGATGTGGGTATTTGATAGAGGGAGGAAACCATACCTAACATAGATATGGCCCTATACGGCGACAATGCAATGGAACTTCCCAAATATAATGTTAAATAAGTACCCATGTAATGCTCATTGACCAGATTACAACGTTTGATTTGCTAAAGCCAATCAAATGTTGATCATGATTTAATTTTATGCTGAGGGACTACATGTATAGTACTAGGTTGTCAAAGGGACGGTAAAATCACATTCTTTCTTTTAGTTGGTGCTCATTATGTCATTCATTAGTTGTGAGAGCAGAAGTCTGAAGGCCTGCTTGGATGGGAGTTAATTATATCAAACGTAGACTGCTTTGTTAGCAGTAGGTACCCCTATACAGTACATATTGATATCATATATAGGTATATATAGATACATATTAATACATATATAGGTATATATATATATATATATATATATATATAAGGCTTTGTTGTATAGTATGTACGTCTATTTCTTACTGAAATATGATGATACAGGGAGTTGTTTATGTCCATGTAAGATATAAACATGGACCATCACGTACTATCCTTTTATACATATGCATCTAAATGCATTTATGCATATAGGTAGGTGAGTCAATATGTATAGATGTATGCTATATAATGTAGATTACATAGCTTACGGCATATGCTATATAGTGTACACCAGTCTTGCCAAACTTGGCTTGGAGGCTGAAATCAGGGCTTTGCCTGAGCAAGTCAGCACGACAAGACCTGAGTTGAGAGGCTGAGTTTGCACCGAGTTGGTTAAAAAGGCCAGAAAAACTTGGAATATTCACAAAATTTCATAAAAATATGTACAATATAGAAATTTGAGCTTATGAACATATAAAGAATTTAAAACATATACAAAATCAGCTATATGAATAGAAATTCAAAAAATAAAAGAAAAAGGAAATCATCCAAAACTTCTAGGCTAATTCTCCAACCTTAACCTTTGCACCCAATGTGGATTGATGCTTCCTTTACTAGCCGAAGTGTCCTCAAACACCAGTAATTGAAACTATAGTTGTCGTGGAGTGTGTGGGGAAGAAGGAGCCTAAGATTGACCAGTGGCTAAACCTCCTTAAGTTGGGAGAGCTTATGAGAGGCTTGAAATAGGGAAAAGCCATTTTCTTGTTTCTTACTTCTGATGGTTCACTCCCATGCCATTAATGAGCCATTAATGTTCCAAGCCTCATGCTTGTATCATCTTGCCTCATGATTGCATCATCTTGCCTCTTGCTTATGTCACCTACCTCTTCCTTCTCCTTTGATTGCCACATCCAAGCAACTTGGCATCTCTCTCTCACCACATTCTACTCTTTCTCCTTCTCCACTCTACCACATTATAAGATGGGCATTAAAATAATGTTTATCCCATATAAAAGGCCTTTGTATGAAAGAGAGAGCAAAAGATGTACGGGAAAAAAAAAAGGGTGAGGCTTAGAGAAAAACCAGGGAACTCATGGGAAGACAGGCGTTGTGTTTTTAAGAAAACAGTGAACTCTTAGGTTGAAACTAGGGGAGTTCTTTGCGTTGATGGTGAAGCATTAAGAGAGAGATTGACTCAGATGAAAACCAAGGAGTTTCATAGTATTTTGAGGTAAGGCATGAAAGAGAAACATTGATTTTGAAATAGGATAGGTATTTCTTAATTCCTTTTACTGTCAAATTGAGCTCGCGTTCATGACCAATTTGACAGTGAGATCAGTATATATTACTGTGATTTTTTGCGAGAATTTGAGCATGCAACTAAGTAACTCAAGAAGATTTTGATCTAGCTGTATCCTGGGGGTGTAGTCACTAAAGACCCTATTGCATCTTTGATTTGTACAAGGTAGGGGGTGATTAACACTTCGAAGAAAGCAAGCCCCTCTCGTGCCTCCAGATCCTAGACATATATTGTCACTCCGTATAACTTTCGAAACGTGCTTTGAATCCTACGGGAATCCGATTGGTACTAGGAGTGTTTCTATTCCCAGATATAACCTCTGAAACCTACTTCGATTCTTACGAGAGTCCGACTAGTACTAAGAGTGTTTTTATTCTTAGATATAACCTCTGAAACCTGCTCCGATTCCTACGAGAGTTCAATTGGTACTAGGAGTGTTCTGTACTATTCTTCTGACATTATCCCAGATAAGGGGACGTGCTGCCGAATTTTCAGGAATAGGGTGACAGTGAAAACTATATAAAACTCTAACAATTTCAAAGTGTTTTATCTCAAAAAAAAATTTCAAATTGTTAATGAACAAGATGGCTACTTGAAGCTCGCTGAAAGTAATGACCCAGGATTTTTAAGGCTGGAATGTTTTGATGGAATTAATTTTAAGAGATGGGAGTCTAAGGTCCTATTTTTGCTGAAGACCTTAAAAGTGGATTATGTAATAAGGAAGCCACGTCCCCTTGCATCATTTACACCCTCGGGATCTACCGTTGATTAGACCACAATAGATCAAATTACCGAAGACATGCAAGAATGGGACGAAAATGATTATATACGTAAAAAGTATATCCTGAATGCTCTAAGTGATCCATTGTTTGATCTGTACTCAGGAATGTCAACTACAACGGAACTATAGGAAGCTCTGGAAACTAAATATAGAGAAGATGTTGGTAGAAAGAAGTATCTCAAAGCAGATACTTAAATTTTAAAATTACAGAAGAAAAACAGAACATGATTTTCATATCATAGCCAATAAACTAGCATCAAATGGTATTTAACTTGATGAATCATTCCATGTCATGGCAATAATCGACAAATTGCCACCTTCCTGAAAAGACTACATAAATACATTGGTGCAAAGTCAGAAGATTTCAGCCTCGAACAGTTGATGACCCTCGAATTGACGAGGAGACTAGACTCGGAGTTGTCGAAGAATTCAAATCTCATATGGTCGCCAAAGCTCACACAATTGATGGTCCGAGAAAGAAGAAACCGCTGACTGAAAAATAAATCAAAATTGAAGGAAAGAAAGAAGAAAAGAAAGATACCAAAGACGTACACGCAAAGACAATTCAGGATAAGGGTAAGAAACCCATGGTATGCTTTTTCTATAGCAAAACCTGCCACATGCAGAAATTCTGCAGAATTTGAAAGAGGTAGCTGGCACAAGGCATGTCTATAATAACAAGGACATGTTAGGACTTATAAAACGGTGGGGGAGGACATTGTCTTGTATATGGGAAACTCTTCCTCCTCTAAGGTTATTTGTAGAGGGATGATTGAATTAAAATTTACGTCGGGTAAAGTCCTCACCCTCCTAGATGTATCCGAAGAAACCTGGTGTCAGCATACCTTTTAAATAAGAGGCGTTTCAAACTTGTCTTTGAGTCCGACAAGTTTACTTTGTCGAAGAATGATGTCTTTGGAGGAATGGATTGTGCCTCGAAAGGCATGTTCAAACTCAATGTTCATAATGAAATTCGTACGTCTTCTTCTGTGTATATGTTTGATTCCACTTCCATATGGCATGATAGATTAGGTCATGTTAGTTATCATGCATTGAGAAAATGAGGACTTTAGACCTAATTCCTAAGTGTGCGAATTTAGATGATACTCAATGTGATGTATGTGTACAGTTAAAGTCACAAGAAAACCCTTTCCTAAAGCAGAAAGAAGTTTCGGGTTACTGGAATTGATACATAGTGGGAAGAAATACTTTGTCACTTTCATATATAAACTCTCAAGATATACTTATGCCTATTTGATTAGGAACAAAGATGAAATACTTGCGAAATTCAAGGATTACAAAACAGAAGTTGAAAACTAATGTAGGAGAACTTGAAGAGGACTCAAGCCTTAGACTTCATTTACAAGACAAAAGTCTTTCTTTTCTTAAAGAGGAATACATGAATGACTCTTCAGCCCATCCATGCCTTTATTTATATTGGAAAATTATTTTTTGAAAAATATTGTCCATACAATTAACTTTTGACCAAAAGGTCCTAACTTAAGTATAAATTTTGTAATGACAGTTTTACCCTATGAATAGTACCCATGAACAGTACTCGTGAATAA